TACTATAAGCAGCTTATAAGGAGATAAAAGCATGATAGCTAATAAATCTTGATTTTTTATGCGTGTTTTTATGTCTTTGATAACAGTCTTAATAAGTAACGATTTCTGTGCAAGTAAACAATATAGACTGCTTCTCACATGGTCCTTTAAGAAATGTAATACGATGTGAGACTATGCATATGTTTCGCTCGTCATTTTATAAGTTAGAAAAAGTGGGCTCAAAAGTGTCAAGTCAGACGGTATGGACCTGTAATCCAGCCAACATCTGCGGTGCACCAATAAATATCATCAGCATGGTAGTCGAAGGTGTAGTAGAAGGTCGTCCCAGTGTAAACCATGTATCCCCCTAGAGTGTGCAGTACACCCTTGGGTCGACCAGTACTGCCACTAGTGTAGAGCATAAACAAAGAGTCCTCGGCGTCACACCATTCAATAGGACAACAGTCAACTTGGCCCCCGAGCTCCGAGGGTGTTATGCATGCCAAGAGGTCGTGCCACCAAATGTCACGCCCTGTCTGCATGGGTATATCCATCCTAGAGTGGAGTAGTAGAGAGGACAGATAATGTGAAATGTTGAAGGATGAGTTCTGGTAAGGCCAGTTAAATGTGGGAATTTAGATAATTAAAATGGATAAAGTTCTAAAAGTATCAAATAGCTCATCAATAGTTACTCTAAGATAATCCCAGAGGGTAGCAAATGATCGCATCATATGCACGGTTTATATGCGAAGGAATATATCCACAAAGTAGCAAATTTCGTTTCCTATCCGCACCATAACTTGCATGTCAAGAGAAAGCAAATATATGAAATTAAAAAAATAATAATGGAGAGACAGAGAAGATAAATAAATTAAATAGATCCTTTAGAATTGAAAAATGAGTGTAACTGGTGTGGAAGTAACTTACGCTTTCGTAGAAAGGTTAAAACAAACAGGTCAATCAAACTATTTAAATAATAAAATGAAATTAGATATGTAGAAAAACCGGTTTTAGAAGGACCTTTTAATAAATTGATGTTGGAATACTTTTCATTTCGTTTGAAGAGGTGAGTGGAAGAGATTCGTAAGTTGGTCTCAAAAAACTTTTTTTTTCTTTGGGCTTTGTGAATTATCGTAGAGCAATGTCCTGCTCTGACAATGTGCATTATATGACGGACAAAAGGATTCATCAGGGTCACTGGACGACGAGCCGAGGACTTATTCGCACATATCTAGTCATAGCTCTAAGGTAATCTCTTTTCGACTTACGCCGAAACCAACTTAGTAATTCCCTTCACTCTAACATCAAAATGAAATTAGGCTGTAATCGACATTGAAAATCAAGATTACTGTTTTGCCATATAACCTTTAAATTCGTCCGAAAAGTTGGACGCAAAGGATTAATGAACTGGCCCTCAGTTGAAACCGAAAGAGGATTGTCATGCAACTGAATGTTGCTTTTGCAAGGTCCTTGGCG